AAAAGAATTTATGAATAATAAAGAACCTAAAAAGGTGAAAATTATTCTCATACCTCAACACATATGCTAACACATAACATTTAGACAGGATACCTTTTTTCTTCCCACAGTCGCCTTTCTCTGCGTTTCTCAATGGAAGCGTCGTCAAATCTTCGTCTTTTTCCTGACCTCTCTGAGTCGTCGCTGTCATTGCCAGAGTCATCATCTGACTGGAAAATAATAAAACCTGTTTTTTCCCTTTTTTTCTGAAGGCAGAGAACTGTAATCCTGAACTATATAGAGCCTGTCTTGCTTATTTCTAAAATCTTTGTACTACATGTAACTAGTGCTTATAGAGTTTATGAAGGCAGTATGAAAGAGATGGATTTTGTGTGAAGAAAATATAAGTTTTGGGGGGCATTATTTCATCAAACAGACAGTTTATCAGGTATACAAATTTGGATGAAGTATTTTTTGGGAATCCCTTATAAATTCTTAATAATTCCATGTGAAATTTAATGGCTAAATGTAAAAAGATTCTGATATCAAATTGAATTTATGGCATTAGTGAGCAAAATTTGCATAATAGAAATTCAACCAGAAGTCTCTGTTGAGACTGAAGCTTACTGGTTTTTACTTATAGCAAAGGAAGAGAAAAGTACTTAAGCAGTTAGAAATTGAAACTTTTCAACAGCAATAAATAGAATAATGATCCTTGATTAAGTCTCTTTATGTTCTTAGTGTAGTCTACTTGCATGCCACATTATATTATAACCAGACTAAAACTGTTATTTGGAGTAGCATTTTGAGAGTATTTAACAGAAATTTCTATTTTTAGTAACCACGGCAACACCGTTCATCGAAATCAAAAACCGATATACAGAATTTTGTATCTTAGTGTAGTCTACTTGTGTGCCAAGTTATATTAAAATCAGACCAAAACTGTAGGAGGAGTAGCATTTTGAAAGAATTTCACAGAAATTTCTATTTTTAGTAACCACGGCAACACCGTTCATCGAAATCAAAAAGGGATACACAGAATTATGTATCTTAGTGTAGTCTACTTGTGTGCCAAGTAAAATTGAAATAGACCAAAACTGTAGGAGGAGTAGCATTTTGAAAGAATTTCACAGAAATTTCTATTTTTAGTAACCACGGCAACACCGTTCATCGAAATCAAAAAGCGATACACAGAATTATGTATCTTTGTGTAGTCTACTTGTGTGCCAAGTTATATTGAAATCAGACCAAAACTGTAGGAGGAGTAGCATTTTGAAAGAATTTCACAGAAATTTCTATTTTTAGTAACCACGGCAACACCGTTCATCGAAATCAAAAAGGGATACACAGAATTATGTATCTTAGTGTAGTCTACTTGTGTGCCAAGTAATATTGAAATCAGACCAAAACTGTAGGAGGAGTAGCATTTTGAAAGAATTTCACAGAAATTTCTATTTTTAGTAACCACGGCAACACCGTTCATCGAAATCAAAAAGCGATACACAGAATTATGTATCTTTGTGTAGTCTACTTGTGTGCCAAGTTATATTGAAATCAGACCAAAACTGTAGGAGGAGTAGCATTTTGAAAGAATTTCACAGATATTTCTATTTTTAGTAACCACGGCAACACCGTTCATCGAAATCAAAAAGCGATACACAGAATTATGTATCTTAGTGTAGTCTACTTGTGTGCCAAGTTATATTGAAATCAGACCAAAACTGTAGGAGGAGTAGCATTTTGAAAGAATTTCACAGAAATTTCTATTTTTAGTGACCACGGCAACACCGTCATCGAAATCAAAAACCGATACACAGAATTATGTATCTCAGTGAAGTCTACTTGTGTGCCAAGTTATATTGAAATCAGACCAAAACTGTAGGAGGAGTAGCATTTTGAAAAATTGTTTACAGACAGACAGACGGACAGACAGACAGACAGACGGACGGACGACGGACGCATTACCATCGCATAAGCTCTTCTGGTCTCTGACCAGTTGAGCTAAAAATTAACAAAAATTCATCTTTCTAATGAATTTTTTTAAATATCCCAAAATTTAAAGCAATATTCAATTTAATATTATAATTTCATATTTATACTTAATTCAATTCAGTAGAAAAATCTTCAGAACTCCAAGGTTAAATTTTGAATTAGTACATGTACTTTCTGAACAAATTGGGTAGTCACATTGAAAAGGAAACATATTCGTCAGATTCACTTTATAGCTAATTTAACAAATTGTGTATAAAGCATATTATATATTCTCAGGTCCTAAAGGCTCTGCTACAAGAGTTAAAAACTGTACATCAGTTTATGTAATTGTAAATCAGTCTTTTTGTAGTTAAATTTTATTATTCGTATCAACTTATTTTACACTCTAAGCAATAAAAAATCCTTCATTCCTCATGAATTAAGGATTATTTTCTAGAGTTAAATCCCAAGTTTATGTAAACATAATTAAATACACACCACTACATAAATGGACAGTATGATCTGTATTCATTTAAAAAATGACTGGACATTTAAACATTTGATCTGTGTGTGTGACCTTATGGCAACTAGCGTGATAACATAATCAGCATATGTTATCTGGGGTACAATTGATATCTGCACACATTTGCAATGTAATGAATATTCTAAAAGGATAAAAATCTCCTGTATAGTACATATGTAATACAAGTAAACTCTGAATTGGTGAAATCATGTAGTTACAGAGAATAGAGTAGACATAACTATAAGGTAAGTGCTACATATGTATATAGTTTATTTTGCATCTGCATCATGATTAAACATCTATTTTCAGTTTATCTTATGTTTTAAATCCATATTACATTCCAAAACATGCTAATGGTGACACATCAATGAGTCTGAGTTCAAGATTAAGATTCAATAATTAGATTACAGTGACTGGCAATTATCTTTTCACTTCGTTATCTAAGACTTTTCAAAATTGAATTATCCTTTTGGCATCAGATGAATACCTCTTAACTGCATTATGATTGTATTATTTCTAACCAGATAAATGAAGACATGCACTCTGCTAATGCAGATGAATTATGGGAAAAGTCACATGGACTACCAATTTGGAGGAAAATCTGTTTTGCAATTGGTGGAATCCCATATCAAATTACAAGCACCGTGCTAGGATTTTTCATCCATATCTCTCCTAGAGGTGGCTCAGGTATTGTTTGAGTTTTATACAGTATTTTTAAATTAAACAAGAGGTGTTTGTAAAACACTTATGCCCCCCTCCCCCCAAATTGGATTTTTACTGAGTCCAAAAGGGCATAACTCTGTCTAAAATGGTGCCATTCTACCCAAAACAGAACTTGACCTAGATATTCAGCTGAAAAAAATCTGTATACTAAATTTCATTTCAATGTGTGCAACCTCTGCAAAGGAAATGAACGGAAACTTCAAATAAGTGGAATTTTTCTAAGTCCAAGGGGCATAACTCTAACAAAAAGGATGCGATCGTAGCCAAAATAAATTTTGACCTGGATATTTATCTGATATATCTGTATACTAAATTTCATTCCAATATGTGCAACCTCTGCGAAGAAACTGAACGGAAACTGCAAATAAATGGAATTTTTCTAAGTCCAAGGGGCATTACTCTGTCAAAAATGGTGCGATCGTACCCAAAACAGAACTTGACCTAGATATTTACCTGATAAACCTGTATATCAAATTTCATTTCAGTATGTACAACGGTTGTGAAGAAAATGAACGGAAACTAAATGGACCGACAGACCGACGGACAGCAGCAAAGCAATATGCCCTCCCTTCTTCGAAGGGGGGCATAATAATTTAACAAGAGGCCCAGGGGCCACAGCGCTCACCTGAGCACATCAGCTCGGAAAAAACACATATCAGATCAGAACTGAAAGTTTATTGGGGGGGGGGCTTCAATTTTAACCACCAAGGGGATCATAATTTGAACGAACTAGAATCTGCATTACCTGAGGATGATTTCATATGAATATTACTAATCCTGGCTTTGAAGTACTTGAAAAGAAGATTTAAAAAGGTTTCCCTATATATTTCTATGTAAAACTGTGGTCGGCCATATTTGCCACACCCTTACCCCGGGGTCATGACTTGAACAAACTTGAATCTACACAACCTGAGGATAATTTCACATGAGTTTCATCTTCCCTGTTTCAATGGTTCTTGAGAAGAAGATTTTTCCTATATATTCCTATGTAAAATTTGATCGGCCATTTTGGCCCCACCCTACCCCCGGGGGTCATGACATGAACAAACTTAAATCTACACTACCTGAGGATGATTCCACATGAGTTTCATCTTTCCTGGCCCAGTGGTTCTTGAGAAGAAGATTTTTAAAGATTTTTCCTATATGGGTCATTTTCAAAAAAAGTCCACTTTTTTGTCTTCTGATCAGAAAAATAGGAAAAACATTTTTTAGAGTGAAAGTTTTTTTCCCGTTGGTTAATATACATGGTCATACAGCTTATAAGTTATTTTATGATCATCTCCCAGGTGTTTTATAAAAACTAGAACTGTCCAGTAGGGACAAATACCCCCGCTGGGTTTTTTCAGAGTAGGTGCCAATTCAGAAAAAATTTATGGATCTAGTAAGAGGTATTCACTATTGTCTAATAAAGTGCCTTGCCACAGCATGATACGCCCATCAAATATTGTTCTGATAATCATAAATTGGTTAGGGTGCGAGAAAATTAAGTAACCTTGATTAACAGATTGACACAGATTTCAATGATCTAATTTCCATTTCTTATCATGTTTAAAATATTGTACATACATCTCTAAGAGACTTACAGTGTAGGGATTAATTAAAACAAATAATACATCATATAATTCTAAACTGGCTGTGTTAGAGCTTAACAAATATCCATCTGCAGCTTTAAATTGTTTATTGCATATTTTATGAAATAATGGAAATGCTACAGTCTAATAAAAAAAAAATCAAAAATTAATTATTCTTTAGACTATAAAATTCTAAGTGAGACATGACTGCAATTTGTTGCAAATATATAAAAATTGAAATGTAATATTTTTTCAATGACCACATGTATAATTAATTTTAATTATATTATACAATACTAATTCAGTTTTTATCATACACTAAAACATCAATTTGTTTTAATTACATTACACCAATTGAAAGATCTTTATCTGAACTACAGCCATCAAGAACTCTTAATTAACACAAGCAACTATAAGGCCATTTCTTTTTTGCCCAACTCCC